GGACTGCCCAAGCCAACTTAAATACATTTTAAAAACGGTAAACAAAATATTTTCTTAAAATCGAAACACTCCCACCCACCAACTCGTGACAATTTTCAAGAACCGCAAGGAGGCAAGAGTTGATAATTGTTTTTTTACTCTTCTATCTGGCAACAAAACTGACACCTTTTTTGTTGCCAGATAGATAATTGGTTTTTTACCCTTTTATCTGGCAACAAAACTGACACCTTTTTTGTTGCCAGATAAAAGGGTAAAAAAACAATTATCATATTTTTACTGGCCAATGAGGTTCCCATAGTGAGGCAAGAGTTGTCACATGCCTATTGGCCAACCACAGCCGCCTGCAGCCAAGACTACGGTGGACGGCTGCTTGCGTTGTGGCCGAAACGTCGTGAGAATTATTTTATTATGTTTTATTTTTTATTATTTTATTACTTCCCTTCCACGTGACTTTACCGAAAGAATCAAGAAGAAGACTACGGTGGGCGAGAAAATCCAACCAGACAACAACGCGGCGAGTCTCACACCTTATCTTCCTGAACTCGTCACAGTCGCACAAGATGAGGTTCATGTGTTTGTCGAACGCCTTGAAAGTGCCGATGAAGATGCGCCCGTCCTGCAGGGTACAGCGCATCCTGTAGTCGATGTGCTGCAGCATCTTGCTGCTGCGTCCCACCGTCTTAAGAGGGGCCAGGCACAAACAGAACGAGCAAGGCGCACGGTGTTAACAGTAAACACGCGCGGATAACGAAACGCTTTAAACTAAATCCAGCCAAACACACCCCCCCGTCGTTCGTGCACCGTCCATCTTCATAAACATCCGTCTGCGTTAATGACCACAAGAACACAATGATAGTACTGGGTCCGACAACGTACACTTGTATGCGTACGGCCCTTCTGGCAATTCACTGATGGATGGAAAGCCCCCACAGTACAAATGGGGATTCGCTCCACTGCCCTCTGCTGCTCACAACCTAACCCTGCAGCAGCACACGTTTAAACAAAAATGTATACATTTCGATTTAAAGCTTTCGTGACTGCAGGGATACATCTTCTTGGTTCTTTCGGTAAAGTCACGTAGAAGGGAAATAATAAAATAAAACATAATAAAATACAATTCTCACGACGTTTCGGCTACAACGCAAGCAGCCGTCCTCAGGTGAAGAACAGGTCTGTCGGAAAGACAGCGTCTGAATGTTGAATGTTCATTCAGACGCTGTCTTTCCGACAGACATGTTCTTTCTACGTGACTTTATCGAAAGAACCAAGAAGAAAAAAATGTATGCATGCACTATGTAAGCACAGTCACATTGTTGTTAGCTTCCGCGATTCATTATTTATCCATATGCCTCTGGACCGCTGTTAGACAAAAAAAACTAACGCGGATTTAATGCAACGTCGCACATCTGCGAGTGGCTTGGCCAGCATGGTTCTCAGGTTAATCTTACAAGTCGTCACCGTGATCGGATAATACATGCCAAATTTAAGTCATCATTGAACCAGCGGCCGACCTGTGCTCCAATGAAGGTGGCATTAGCAAGCAACGCGCCTAGAAATCAAATGTAGATAACAGAATAACAATAGGTTTGACCTTTTACGGCAATAAAACTGGTGTTAAGACGTTCAAACGGCAAATAGAAACCAGTTGCAAGGAATCACGTCTGCATTAACCACACACAACTTGTGTTGAACATGTGAACAAACATGCTCTGATAATTATCGATACAATGTCTTTGAAACTGATTGGCCTTCTTTATGATCTGGTATCACCAGTGTCAGAACCAAAGAACACCACAAGGCGAACAGCACAAAGACAATCAATACACGTGTCACATGCTCTGGGTGAGCAGCTACAAAACGGGCCTTTTTTGCCAGTATCAAAGTATGAAAATCAGTTTAAAAGACGATGCATATATTACCAGTGCATGCTTCTATTTGGTGTTTGACCATCTTAACACCTGTTTTATTTCCGGAAAGTGAAAAAACTTATTCTTATTTTTTCATACCTTGAGACTGGCAAAAGGTACATTTTTTACAGAATAGTTTGGCCTTTTTTACAGAATAGTTTTCGCGAGCATTGGTAAAAGTCAAAGACGGTACACGATATCGTAATCAATCGACATGGGTTTTCATCTCGTCTCTGGCACTAATAGATGCGGTACACATATCCACGCCGTATTCCGATAGCTTCTTCCCATGTTCTCCCACACTACTACATCGCCTGATCGTAGCGAAGCAGGATTTTTTATTGAGCCTCCATAACGCTCCGATGGGTAACCAACGCCGTTTTAGGCCACGTCGTTTAAATTTCTGGGTGGGGGGGGGGGTAGCAGCACCAATTATTGAGCAGTGAATTGATAAAGGCGGCAGTAGCAGGCGTTGTTATAAACGAGTTCGGGGATTTTTAAACAAAAAAATCGGAGAAAATTGGCGCCATCACGCGCTTTGTACAAGTGCCATCGCCCGCAACGTTCCAACACCATTTTACGACGCCCAGTTCTTCATTGACGACGTTAAAGAGGCAGCGTTCAAGTGCTTAAACCCTGTCCGAATTTATCGTTTAAATAAAACTTTCAACACAACGTTGCCCCCATTCATTGGGGAGGCATCGCTTAAAAAGCCTGAATTAGGCCCAAGCAATACGAGCCAACGATAGTTTAAACAACAAAAAACCCCGCGGTTTTAAAAATGCCAAAGGTATAAAACCTCCGCAACGAGTAGACGCAAGTAGTTAAAAATCTTTGAACATCTTAAAAAAAAATGTGGAAAACGCGCGAAACGCATCGCCGCATTATTAAAGTCGCGGCCGCATTCGCTAAGCCCGGGACGTTAGGCCTAGCTTCGTGCTATCATCTTCATCTTCCCGCGGGCAGAGGCGCGGCAAATCTACGCCGCGAAATAACAGCGCCGAACGGCAGCGCACAACGGCGGCGATGCAAAGAGTCGTCTCTCACCATGGTGGCGGTGCGGATGGCCCCCCGCGAGTGCGGATTCTTCCTCGGTGAGAGTGAGGCAAAGCCCGGGTAGGGGACGCGCCTCTAATGGCGCCGGCTTCTTCCCTGCTGCCCCCGGGCAGCCGCGCGCAGGATTGTGGGAGGGGGGCGGGAACTTAATTGGTTCCCGGATGTTTGACGTCACGCACTGCATGACGTCATGTTAGCGGTGCTGCTTTTTAACGAAAGAATATGGGGATATTTTGATTTAAAGCTTTCGTGACTGCAGGGATTCATATTCTTGGTTCTTTCGGTAAAGTCACGTAGAAGGGAAGTAATTAAATAATAAAAAATAAACATAATAAAATAATTCTATTTAAAGCTTTCGTGACTGCAGGGATTCATCTTCTTGGTTCTTTCGGTAAAGTCACGTAGAAGGGAAGTAATAAAATAATAAAAAATAAACATAATAAAATAATTATATTTAAAGCTTTCGTGACTGCAGGGATTCATCTTCTTGGTTCTTTCGGTAAAGTCACGTAGAAGGGAAGTAATAAAATAATAAAAAATAAACATAATAAAATAATTCTATTTAAAGCTTTCGTGATTTTTATTTTATTTTTTAAATCCTTTATTTAAATCCTTTATATTAAGTTCGCTTGCTTGCTTGCGTGCTTGCTTGCGTGCTTGCTTAGGACCGTGCAAATCTTTCGCTCGTTTTTTAACCCACTTCCCGTGATCCAATCGAGCTGACATTTTCCACACAGACTCGTTGTGCGAGACAATTAATTTTCGTGAAAATTTTTTTCCAAAATTTTACACTGTTTAGGGAAAACAAATTAAATATTTAATTACCAATTGCTTAATACTGGCAGACAATCATCTGACCCATAGGTGGCAGCCATCTCAAGCCAGAGGACGAGAGGACTCTAGCCGCCACGCATATAAAGGATTTAGAGTGAAAAACTTTGTTTTTACGGGTTTACTTGTATTCATTTCATTTTAAAATTTTATCTACGGTGCTGATTTACCGCAGAAACGTGTGGGTAGCGTAGCCACCACGGCCCGGCTTTGCATGGCGTTGTGTTTCACTTAAAATTAAACAATATAAATATCACAGACGACGTTTCGGGAAAAGACCCGTCTTCATATCACGTACAAATCTCTGTCAACCAATCAGCGAACTCCTTTCAAACGTCCGCAGATCTTCAGCGCCAATCAGCGTCGTCGGTTCATCGTCGTTGCCCCCCCTCCCCTCTCCCCCCACCCCCCTCATGTCGACTTATCAACCAATCGGCAAGCGCCTTTCATTGCCGACGTGCCTCTCCACGTTCAACCAATGGGGTGGCGCCGCCTTTCGATACTCGCCGATTTGGTGGGGTGGGGTGGTTGCGGGTGGTGGGGGGGGGGGATTGGTGGGGGGGATTGGTGGGGGGGATTGGTGGGGGGGTCGGGGGGTTGTTGGGGTTGGGGGGTTGAGGGGGTGTTAGTGGGGTTGAGGGGGGGTTGGGGGGTTAGGGAGGGGGATGGTTGGGGGTCGTGGACGGGGTTGGGGAGGGTGGGGTTGGTGGGGGTGGTTAGTGGGGGGTTAGGAAGGGGCTTGGTGGGGGGGTGGGGGGGTTGGTGTGGGGGTTGGTGGGGGTTGGTGGGGGTGGTTAGTGGGGGATGGGGGAGGGGCTTGGTGGGGGTGGGGGTAGTTAGTGGGGGATGGGGGAGGGGCTTGGTGGGGGGATGGGGGAGGGGCTTGGTGGGGGTGTCGGTGGGGGTGGTTAGTGGGGGTTAGGAAGGGGCTTGGTGGGGGGGGTTGGTGGGGGTAGTTAGTGGGGGATGGGGGAGGGGCTTGGTGGGGGTGGGGGGATGGGGGAGGGGCTTGGTGGGGGTGTCGGTGGGGGTGGGGGGTTGGTGGGGGTAGTTAGTGGGGGATAGGGGAGGGGCTTGGTGGGGGTGGGGGGTTGGTGGGGGTGGTTAGTGGGGGGTGGGGGAGGGGCCTAGTGGGGGTGGGGGAGGGGCTTAGTGGGGGTGGGGGGGGGGTAGTTTCTCCAGCCAATCGGCGGCTCCGTCTCTGGCGCCATATCGCGCGACTCAGGCGAGGCGAAGGCTTCTCGCAGGTGACCGCGTTCGCTCGCTCTGAGGCGGCCACTCTCGCCTCTCAGTTCAAATTCAAACCCCTAACCCCCCTTCGTCTCGACTCAACCTACGTGGGTACCTCTCGTTGCTTTGCTTAGGAAGAGAATGATAAGGGAATGTGTGGGTGGTGGTGAGCTTGTGAGGAATCGTTGCAAATCGCGAAGGATGGTGACCGCTCTGAGGCCTTCATCTAGTGAGGGATAGAGGCATGGGTCATTGTTGTTGTTGCTGTTGTTGTTGCTGTTGTTGTTGTTTCTTCATGTTTTGTGTGGCCAATGTCGTCGACTTAGAATCTCGTGTTCATGAGGCCTGGACAGCAGACGTCGTCTCGGTGTTTGCGTGTCGGGCCTTGCGTCGTTGAACGGTCTCTTCATCATCAGAGCTTTCTTTACGCTGACGATGGCTTTCATGTATATAATCATATATAATCATCATGCTGATGACTATTGACGCTATATACTCGTTAGCTTTTATATACTCGTTACGCTGACGATGGCTTTCATGTAACTATCGGCATGATAGCTTATATATAATCATATATAATCATCATGCTGATGACTATATTGACGCTATATATGTACTCGTTACGCTGACGATGGCTTCAATGTAACTATCTGCATGATAGCTTCTATATAATCATATATAATCATCATGCTGATGACTATATTGACGCTATATACTCTTCACGCTGATGATAGCTTCAATATAATAATGAGCATGATGATGGCTTCCATATAATAATCATGCTGATGACTATATTGACGCTATATACTCGTTACGCTGATGATAGCTTCCATATAATCATCATGCTGATGATTATATTGACGCTATATACTCGTTAGCTTTTATAAAATCGTTACGCTGACGATGGCTTCAATGTAATCATCGGCATGATAGCTTCTATATAATCATCATGCTGATGATTGTATGGAGCTATATACTCGTTACGCTGATGATAGCTTCAATATAATAATAAGCATGATGATGGCTTCCATATAATCATTATGCTGATGACTATATTGACGCTATATACTCGTTACGCTGATGATAGCTTCAATAAAATCATCAGCATGATGGTTTCAGCATGATGATAGCTTCCATAAAATCATGAGCATGCTGAAGATTATATGGAAGCTATCATCAGCGTAACGAGTACATAGTTTCCATATAATCATCAGCATGATGATTTTATGGAAGCTGTCATCAGCGTGACGAGTATATAAAAGCTATAAACAGACCCTACAACTATAATAGGTTTTTTCCCCTTTTATCTGGCAACAAAACGGCTTTGTTTAGATGTTAAAACACCAAACTGAAACCTTTTACAAGGAATCATGTCTACATTAACCATAATACTTGTGGTCATAATGCACACGAAACAAACTCTGGTAATGTATTGGCATTGTCCTTGAAGTCACGTAGGTAAAAAATAAATAATAAAAATATAATTGAAATAATATTAATATTATTATTGACCGAAAAACCTACGAGTGTGAATCCTTGCTGTCACGAAAGCTTCAAATCTAGAATTGTCCTTGAAAGTGATTGGTCCACACCAGAGACCGCTTTCTTTTGAGCCTCGTCTCAAACGGTGTTAGACCAGTGGACGCCTTCTAAAAGGCCTTTTAAAAAGCCCTTTAAAAAGGCCTTTTAACATCTAAACACCTGTTTTGTTGTCAGATAAAAGGGGAAAAAGCTATGATCATATCTTGAAACTAGCAAAGGAGGTCCCATGATGTAGAGACCCTACAACGTACAATGCCCGAGCCACAAACTCGGTAGGATGATTGATGATCTAAAAGCTATAAACGCTCTGCATTGTGTAGCGATGTATCGATCCGTCGATTAAAATCATGCTGATGATAATATGAAAGATTTTATGAAAGCTATCATCAGCAAAGATAATTATGATCATCAGCATGAAGATTCTCATCATCAGCAATGATGTTATCGCCAGAATGCACAGCATTTACAGATTTTCTATATTCAGTATGATTATCAATGTCTGCATGATGAGTATAATATGAAAGATATGAAAGCTATCATAAGCATGGTGATTGCGTTTTCTTGGTTCTTTCGGTAAAGTCACGTAGAAGGAAAATAATTAAATAATAAAAATAAAACATAAAAATAAAGAAATATTATTTTATTATATTTTATATAATATTTTATATTATATTTTATAATGTTTTAGTTTTATTATTTTATTATTTCCCTTCTACGTGACTTTACTGAAAGAACCAAGAAGATGAATCCCTGCAGTCACGAAAGCTTTAAATCGAAAGATGATAGCGTTCATATAATAATTCTAATGATAATCAGACTAATGATTATGTAAAAGCTGTAAACACTGCGCTGTGTAGCGATGTATCGATCCGTCGATCATCGGCATGATTATCATCAGCATGATTATTTGAAAGATTATAAATATCGTGCAAAATCGACAGTGGTGGCGGTGATGATCAATTTCGTTGATAGCAGAAGCAGTGGCGATCATCGCCCCCCCCCCCCCCCCCCAAAACGTACTTCGACATTTTTTTTGGCAGGAATCTACCTGGAGAAGAGAGAGGCTTTCCTTGGGTTTAACCATCGCAATATAAATCGGGAACCTTCGTAGAGGCGCGCACAGATCTCGAAACAAACTTAAGTTGTGTTTGGATGTACGGCCACCGTGTGGGTAGCGGAGGGGAGTACTGTAGAGCAATACCCACTGCGTTGTATGGTACTTCTATTACCGCGCATGTGTTGGGGCAATGTGGTGACAAAAACAATAGCCCGCGGACGTGCAAAGTCGTGGGGGGGAGGGTCCCTCGTAGACAAGTGGACTGTGTAGAGACGACAGTGGTTTTCATGAACAAAGTTGATGTGATTTAACACATTCGTGCGGAGGGAGCTGGTAGGAACGTTGGGTTGCTCGGTCAATGGCCTGCAAGGTCAACGGCGGCGTGGTGTATTCCGCAAATATGCCCGACTGTGAGGGCGGGCACAAGCCGGCGTGAGTAGGTTAAACGTTGAGTTTTATAAGGGCACCACGGGGTGACCAGCCCCTCCCCACCCAGCTCCATTCCTCCCACCCCCCACCCAGCCCTACCCTCCCCACCCAGCCCCTCCCCACCCTCCCCACCCTCCCCACCCAGCCCCTCCCCTCCCCACCCTCCCCACCTAGCCCCTCCCACCGTCCCCACCCAGCCCCTCCCTGCAACCAGGAAGTTCCTACCAGTATAGCACCGTTGGAGCTGTACGAAGACCCTTGTTGCAAAAGGCGTTGGGGGAGGAATGGCCATCGGCTTTGAGTTCTGATTTGGCCCTCGACTTTGACGCAGAGAGAATCCGCATCGAAGTATCGACACGCCGGAGAAAGTTCGATTTTCCCCCTAGGCTGCATACATTCAGAAGCTGATAGCCACCAATTTCCACAGCGGTGCTTGCAAGCATCAAGGCTGTACAGTTATATACATCATGAAGCCTCCTTTGCCAGTAGCAAAATATAATAATAGGTTTTTAACCCTTTTTTCTGGCAACAAAACTGAAACCTTTTTTTTACAAGGAATCATGTTTGCATTAACCACAATACCTGCAGTCAGAATGCAAACAAAACACACACTCTGATAATGTATGCATTGTCCTTGAATGCTTACCTCAAGCCCTCATTACTCTGATAGTGTGTCTTTGAGTTGTGCGCCTTTTTGCGTCTTCTGGTCGAACACCATTTGAGACTAGGCTCTAAGGAAAGCTGTCTCTGGTGTGGACCAATCAATTTCAAGGACAATGCATACATTATCAGAGTGTGTTTTTTGTTTGCATTATGACTGCAGGTATTGTGGATAATGCAAACACGATTCCTTGTAAATAAAGGTTTCAGTTTTATTGCCAGAAAAAAGGGTAAAAAAATCTATTAATATGCTGTACAGTTATTTTCAGCACGTTTGGATCCAGGCCTTTGTACGCCGTGTCCATCCTGGGGGGTTATTTGATAATACAGGCAGCCAGCTCCCCCCCGGCTTACGAACGCACGACTTGCAAATATTCGCACTGACGAACGAGTTTAGCACGAGGTGTTTTATTTTTTTTAACCATCCGATTTGCGAGCCCACTGTTTACAGCGTCACATGCAAATGTGTACAGAATTTCTTCTTACGCGTTTAACAATGCTTCCCTTTGTCGAACGGTTAAACACTGACTGGATGTACATTTAAATACTGTACATGGTTGTGTTCCGACTTGCGTTTGACTTACGAACTGGCCCCAGGAACTGAACACGTAGGGGCCTTGCCCGTACTGTATTGACCTTGCTGTCACTGGTTTGATTTGACAAGAAGGAAGTGAACGTCCGCTTGTGATAAAGAAAACAACTCACCAAGCGATGTTAACCGTGGCTGGGAATCGAACGGAGGTGGCCTTTTCGTCGGAACAAACTTCGCCTTCGCTCGCTAGTTCACGCTGCTCACTCAAGACTCACTTGTTTTTCCCTAGCTCACTCGACGACCCCTTAGTCTGCCCCTCGTAACCTCCACCGTTACCGTTCCCTCTTCATATTGTCATTGCGTGGCTTTCACTCGTTAACCCCATTCATTAAATCCGTTCATCATCATTTACTGTCATCAATTTTGCTTTCACCGAATTGACGCATCGACACAGATTTGCACTCATCGCGCTTCCTCTCATCTATTTCATCTCATCTTCACCATTGCATTCGTACGTTGTACTGTTGTGAATTCTTTGTAAAGCGCCTTGGTTAAGGCGCTTTATAAATTCCCTTTAAGATAAGTTAATTATCACGGTGCAGTGTGCTAGCCACCAATCCGCACAAAGCTCATTAACACAAACGTTCACGAATTCAAACCGAGCGGCGGCCGCTTGGGTGATCGCGGACACGCTGCACGATATCACCGACTGACTTCCCTGACCCTCTGCTACAGCGACACCACAGCAACGAACCATGGCGGCGCCGTCGGAAGAGGAGCTGCCACCTGCGGTGGACGTGGACCCGCGCGGAGACTTTACGGGCTGGCTGGGCGCGCAGGGCGTCAAGCCTGGTCTGGCGCGCACCCTCGCCACGGACCTGGGCATCGCCGACTACGACTGCCTGCTGGCGTGCACCGAGGACGCGGAAGTGCGCTCCGAGCTACTCGCCGTCGCCAAGGAGCGGCTGCCCTTCGCGCACTACGCCATCTTCCGCCGCGTCGTCAACGGAGTGCCACCACGGCGCCAACCGCACCCGGCCGCGAGGGTACGGAGCGACGGTAGAGTCGTCGGTGTGATGGCGAGCCCCCCCCCCCCCCCGCCCCCCCCCCCCCCCCCCCCGTGCATAGCTTGTGGGGAGCCGCGCTGGCTAGCGGACGTTGACTTTCTCGCCTGGTATACAGGAGGTCGTGGGTTTAATCCCGACACTGACGCCTGCTGCGTATTTGCAGTTTGCATGTCTCTCTCTCTCTCCCTGTGGTCATGTAGATTTTTCTCCGGATCCTCTGGTTTTTCCCTCTATATTTAGAATCAACTTGTGTTTAGAGAATTTGGCGGCTGCTGTACATTTCCACATGGTAAGCCACTTCGTTATCATTTGTGATAACCAGGTCACTTCTGAAAAAAACCCAATGGGCCTTACCTGGTAAAATAAAAAAAAGTTGAGTTTTTAGTTTTATAACTCTGTAATGTTGTAGTTTTTGTACTTTTCCTGTTGTTTTTTTACTCCTTGCATTTATGCATTTTGACCTTTTTTCGCACCGCACGTAGCCGACCATGCTCATCAGATGTGCGAATCCCTGCGCTATTGGCATCATGTCGTGAGACGAAATTCTCCGCTCCGATCCCTCGCAGAGCAGTGCAGCTGCTCGTGTTCATGACGTTTAGCAGTCGGTACCCTCCTTGTAAGATATTCATGTACATATTCATGCATACACACGGCAAAGACACGATTGTTGTGTTCGCGATGTTAAGGTTAATCTGAAAAATTTGAATCTGGCCGCAATAGGACATTTTGGATTACTAGAAAAACAAATTTTCGATTGGAATATTAAATCACGAGAGGTGACGTCACTACCACGGCATCGCGTCTGCGCTTATCCTGTCCAGCGGTGTCGCATGGCATCGTCTAACCTGGCTTTCATTCTAGATTTGAAGCTTTCGTGACTGCAAGGATTCATATTCTTAGGTTTTTTTTCCGGTAAAGTCACGTAAGTAAAAAATTTAAATTAATAAAAGTAAAATAAAGTAATAATCACGACGTCTCGGAGGAAACACAAGCTTCCGTCTTCAGGTGGAACCGTCACAGCCACGACAGCTGTATCAAGTAAATGAGAGATTGCAGGAGCTACTTACTTTATACAGCTGTCGTGGCTGTGACGGTTCCACCTGAAGACGGAAGCTTGTGTTGCCTCCGAAACGTGATTTTTATTTTTATTTTACTTTTATAAATTTTAATGTTTTACCTACGTGACTTTACCGAAAAAAACCTAAGAATATGACCTAGCTTTCGTTGGACTTCATTGAATTACTTGTAAATGATCCAAATATAATGCTCGTCCCTAACTCACGCATGCGCTGGTTTGTTCCACATCTGGCGTGTCAGCATACTCGCAGATCGCCCAGAGCACGACAGGTGAAAGCAATCCTGTGTACGCACGTTGAACTTCTTTCGCACCGTACGTTAGCCAACTGCGCTCGGCGGAGGTGCGGGGGAAGGACAACAAAACAAACACACAAATCAAACCCGAGCTGCACAAGTGCGGGGGAGGGGTGAGCGTGCACGTCTGCTGCTGCTGCTGCGTCTTGCAGGGCGCTAGCGCGACGAGCGAGGCGGATATCCGACGCACGCTGGGCACGGTGCAGCAGCTGACGGAGCTGGTTCTGTCCGTGCAGAGGCTCACCTCCCCCGAGGCCTTCCTCAACTCGCTGAGCGCCAGCACGCACGGCCGCGCCAGCAGCAAGCGCAAGGCCGGCTCCAGCACAGGCACGGCGACCGTGATGATGCGGCGGCGGTGCGCGCAACAGTTGGCAGCTCGCGCCTCCCGTTATCCTGTGTCAGGTAACACGCCGCTGGTGGATTTCGCCGAGTAACTGGAATGCGGCGGCAGCGGCTTCTTCTTTTTCGTCGTCGTCGATGAGGGAATTTCTCTCCGCCAGACGGGCGCGTCAAGTTCGTTGTCGCTTAATGTCTCGCGGCGGCGGCGGCGGCGAGATGTTAACTCCCTCGCCCTGGTACGCAGGAGGTCATGGGTGCGGACCACAGACCCTGACGCCTGTTTTATAATTGGACGTTGCGTGGCTCTTCTCTCTCTCCGTGCTCGGGTTAATTTTTCTCCGGGTCCTCCGGTTTTTCCTCCACGTTTAGAATCAAGATCACGCGTTGAGAGTATTTGGCTGCTATAAATGTCCACGTGATGTGAGCCACTTGAGGTATTATTTGTGATAGCCAAGTCGTTTCTGACAAAGAGCTACGTGGCTCAGCGGGCCTTACCTGGTAAAATAAATATAGTTAATATTTTATCGTGAGGTGTGTAATGATTCAGTGATCTCCTTTCACTCCAATCCCACCAGCAATCTGATAAATTGGTACGAATCAAGCTTATGACATGTTCATTTGCATTGATTTTTTTATTGGAAAGTTAAAAAGTTTGGTTTTACAGCGTCTTGCATTTAGTCGCTGTATAAAAGCGAATTGTACGGCGATCATTCATTGATTTAGCATATTATCTTCACATCGTTCGATTAAATAACAAGTCTATTCTCACACGTGCGGTTCCACCCGTGCATTGTGACCAAAACCCTGGCGAGTTTTAGTCGATTGACGGCGTTGCTCTCCACACCTAGTCTCGCACTCTGCCTATGCATTCCAGCCACGGGCCTAAGCCACCTTCGCGTGTTACACGAGACTGGAAAACTTGATCATCTCCATCTCGGCGGCAGAGTGGCGCAGTAATTTCCACTCGTGCCTCGTAGCAAATAGGCCCTGGGTTTTATTCCCGACTTGTGGTTTTCTACCTCTGGATGATATTTGTTCGCGAAAGCCTACGTGTTTAACTGATTTCCTACCGTATCTACAAAAATAATCGCGCGTAAAAAGTTACCAGTATTGCCCATACGTCACAATTCTTAAACATTGGCTACAAATTACTCAAATGGAATTTGCATGTAGAAACATTGCCCCCGACGGCCTAAAACGTGGCAGAACCCTCCTGAAAGCGAGTTGAGACTCGGTGAGCATTTCCTGGGTTGACGAGAGGAAAGATGATCTGGAGCCAACTGCTGCTGCACACACACAACATCAAACAAGGACGTCAATATATCTTATTCTCTGGATGATGAGATGCACTTAATTCGCTCTAATTGAATGCCAACATGTTTAATTCTGAGGGTTGGAATATAACCAAATTAAGTACATCACCAAATTGAATTTTATAGGTTTTGTGTGCAGCAGAGGTCGCAACCGGGTACCCGATACCCGTAGCCTACCTGGCTTACCCGTACCTGGCCGGGTACGGGGGTACGGGTACCCGTTTGCGACCCTGGTGCGGCCTGGTACACGTACAGGTAGACCGTGAGTCACTCATTTCCCAACGTCTTGTCTCTTCTCACAATTCAAGTTCCTAGAATCAATCCACCCGCGCCTGCAACATGGCTTCATCCCAGAGGTCGCAATCGGGTACCCGATACCCGTACCCTACCCGATACCCGGCCAGGTACGGGTAGCCGGGTATCGGGTAGGGTACGGGTACCCGTTTGCGACCCTGGTGCGGCCGGGTACGGGTAAGGAATCAAAACCCGTTTGCGACCTCTGGTGTGCAGTCATTGGTGATCGGGCTCAGACCACTAAGTGATTGCACTTGACAACCTGGTTTAATCGCAGCTCATTTTACGCGAATCTATGGCTCTCTGTGACTCTATGGCTCTCCGTGTAGAGCTATCCGAGTAGTGGACAACCAGACTGAGACCCACTCGCGAGAGCCTGCTTACATAACGGTTGGGCGCCCGAAACCGGGATTCGAACTCGGGAAAACTCGGCGGTGCCGGCTTCGCGCTCAGGCACCCGCCAATGCCGTCGCGGTCCCGTGCCGGTCACCGCGCGCCACGGCAACGTTTTTTTGCCGTTTGTTCGACTCGGGCCCTAACGCTGTCGGCGCTCGCCCCCCCCCCCCCGCTGCTCCGCCTCGCCTGACAGGCGGCGCGAGCGAGCGCTACGAGGACGAGGAGCTGCCCTCGGTCGTCATCAACCACCAGGGCATCGCCGTGTACGAGCGCGGCGGCGGCGACGCCGGCACCGGCGCCGGCGGCGGCCACGGAGCCGGAGCCGGAGCCGGCGCCGGCGGCCAGGTCAACCACGAGGACGGCGAGGACGACGAGAACGAGGAGGAGGAGGACGAGGAGGAGGAGGAAGACGAGGAGGAGGAGGAGGAAGACGACGACATTGCCAACCGCGCCGCCTACGACGCGTACCCGCAGCAGCCGCCGCTCGCCCCCCTGGAGAACACCAACGGGCAGGAGCAGTTGGCGCACAAGCGGCGCAAGCACTGAGCTCTGTCGTCGCGTGCCGACGCTGTCACCCGCCGCCGCCGGTCTCGTCGGTCCCGTACGGTCGCGCTATCTCAGGGTTCCACCTTAAACTCCCCACCCGCCCCCCACTCGCACCCACCCACCCACCCCCACCTGGCCTCTGCCACGTGTTTGTTGGCCGGGTCGTGCCGCGTGTTGTTGTCCAGCAGGATGTCCGGAACCGAAGTTCCCGAAGAAAGATCTCCCTCTCCCCCCCCGCCTCTCCCCCCTCCCCTGGCCACGGGAAAGGCGGAATGTGGGAGGGGCACCGTGCCCAACGACCAATGCGCGGCACCATCCGGAAGAACGCTTCGGAGCGAGAGAGGTCACGTGACGGCACGCACGCTAATCCCCCCGTGGCGGCAGCCGTGTTGAATTTCCGTCGGCGTGCAGACGTCTGGGCCACGGCGTGCCACGGGTGGAGGTGGACGCGCTTTTCATCTCCGCTCCTTGACACCCCACCCCACCCCACCGAGCCCACGTTTGCCATTTTTTTGTATCTCTTTCACTTCACCCACCCATCCCCGTGCGTGCGTGTGTGTGTGCGCGCACCATTCACCGGATTGATTTTACCACTGCGGGAGGGGGGTGAGCGGGGGGTGGTGGAGGACTGGAGTTGAGGGGGGGGGGCGGTTTTTAAGGCAGTCGGTCGTCGGCCGGCGGATTTACCGGAAAATTCGATTATTGTCGTGCGGCCGTTTGTACGAGGCGGTGGCGTCGAGCGATGGGGAGTTCATGTCCTGCCGAATAAAATCCGGGGTTTTGTGGAATTTAGTGTGATGGTGAGAAACGATTGGTCTATGGCAGGCGTGCGGGAAAGTTGCACGGCGTAGCGCGCGGGGCTGTGTGTCCGGCTTGTGGCTGTTTTACCCGCACCTCCCGATTTTCCCTTCCTCCCCCCACCCCCGCACCTCCCCGATTAGCACGCTTTGGCCACGTACGGTGCGTCGGGCCCACCGCTTGGAAACGGCCCGCAGACGACATCCGCCACCGAAGGCCGCCTTGCACTCGGTGGCCTTGGAGCGCAGAATAGTTTTGACCCGGTTGCTACTGACGTTAGCGCCACGCTCTTGTAAGCCGATTGGAAGTCGCCATTCCCACAGTCGTCCATCAGGGCCACCCCCCGCCCTCCCCCCAAAATCACATTCACAGCTTTTGGGCACAATAAAAAACTAAAACAATTCTTCGCGAATATGAAACGGCGGTGAAACTGTCTTCTGCCGGTGACGACTTGCCAGCGATCGCCCTTGAGCAGCCCTGGTTCGCATCGCGGCTTGACGGGTCCGGCACGGTGTCGCCCAGGTTCTCACTCGCGAGGAGTCCGGCGTTGAGGGAGTGGGTGAGCATGCTTTGGCTCTCCAACCCCCCCCTACCCCCTCCACCGCACCCCCTCGCCCCCCCCCCCCACCCCCTTCACCCCCTTCACCGCACCCCCTCGCCCCCCACCGCTCCACCGGACTGCTCCCGCTTCCAACCCATCGTGCGTGCGCAAGTCGATTTGGCCGGATGACGTCGCTGTTAACGTCATTTGGGATATTTTTTTTCTACGCTTTATAATTGCCGGGGGGGGGGGGTGGGGGGGGTGCTTGGATAGGAATAAAACTTTGCTCATGAATTCTCCCGTGACCGCTGCCTGCTGGCCTGTGTATCCGCAAGTTGCTTTCGAAGACGAGGCGTATGTGTAGGAAAGCGTTGTATTAGCCACGCGTTTGTGCATGATCTTCGCCCGACTGGTTTTAAAATTTAACGTGATCCGCTCTGAAGTCGGGGGGGCGGGGGGGGTCTTGTTTTCATGAACAAAAAAAGCGTGTCGTTATTTACCAAGCAAAGCCTCCCCGGGTCTCGAGACGCATTCTTTTGGGGTCCCGCTGCATCGGGTTACTTTGGCAAATCCCGCTAAACGAGCGAGTGACTGCACGCTGCCCATACACAGCCGGGCAGGGAGAGGCGAGCAGAGGGGGGAGTGGGAGGGGAGCGGTTGACTCAACATCCCATCCCATGGAAGCTTTTGGCGCCGTTCTTTTAGGCCGCAGGGGTGAGGGGTGGGGGGCGACACTGCGTGGAGCTGCCGCTGTTACTGCCGCGTGCAGCTAATTGCTGCTCGCCCCACCCAACCCAAACGTGTCGTTCCCAGCGAGTTGCGAGCTTCTCCAGAGCGGCTCCTTTAACACCAACACCCCCCCCCCCCCACAAACGCCCCTCGGCAAATGCCGTGGCGCTCGCCAGAGTCGCCCAGTGATGCAAGTCGTCATCGTGCCGGCGAGCGGGTCCAGCTGAGACGCCCTCTTGTCAGACCGGGGTGGGTCGTTGGGTCGGCTCCACCGTTACGATTGCAGCAGCAGCAGCAGCATCGCCTGCTCAAACCGCAAATGTATCCTCGCCACGATCAATCGCGTTGCAATTACGTTACGAAGCCACCGTCTTCACGATCGCGCGATTTCGTTAGCAATTGGGCACCCACCAGAGGTCGCAACCGAGTACCCGATACCCAATACCCGGCTACCCGTACCCGGCTGGGTACGGGTACCCGTTTGCGACCCTGGTGCGGCCGGGTACGGGTGAGGAATCAAAACCCGTTTGCGACCTCTGGCACCCTCCCCCCCCCGGTATAAGTTCCCACGTTCCTCTGTGTTTGTGTCACCCAGGTTGGAGTTCCCCGCAGCGTGTCGGCTCGCGTGTTGGGGACGATGCGTTGTGGTTTCACAGCCTTTTGTTCGGCGCGTTGGGGAGACGGTGCCGCCGGTCCGAACCGATTTGCGTCCAAGAAACGGGAAAGGGTCAAACGGAGTGAGGTCCGGTATGGGCGGCGGCGGCTCCCAAGACGTCTTGGCCTCAGCCCACACCTCGCTTTGTCGTCGTCGTGGCAATATTTGCATCGGGTCACTAAACCGTAAAAGGTTACAACTCTCAACAACAACAATAATAACACTGGTCAACACACTTTTTTCTGGCATAAGGTATTCCAACGGGTTTAAGGTAATTTTGGGGTGCTGATTCCAAATCTGGAATCAGTTTTTGTCTATCACATCAGGTTTTTGAGATATCAATTATTGCATCTTCAATAAAAACTGCAGAAGAAATATATTAAGTAAATGTGGATATCTGCATAAAATTATATTATAAACCCACTATCCTAAAAACAGCACCATATTTTAACACTAAAGCAGTCACTGACTCGCAACAACTTGCAATCATAAGTGACAGAGTTAATTTCGGGTAAAATCAATGAAAATGGGGTATGCCGATAGCATAAAAATGAGATGTGATAGAGCAAATCTGAGATCAGATTTGGAATCGGCACCCTGAAATTAGTCTAAAACAGCTGCAAAAGTCCAGGCCAGAAAAAAAAGTTTTTTTGTGTTGACCAGTGTTATCAACAGCCCCTTGTCATACTCTTTGGGTCTTTCGGTTAAGCCACGTGGGTAGAAAAGTAATAGATGGCGACGTTTTGAACGCAACGCAAGCGTCCGTCATCAGGCGAAAAATGGTGAGAAAGCTGCTACAAGCAAGAGGTTCATCTTCTTGGTTCTTTCGGTAAAGTCACGTAGAAGGGAAATAATAAAATAATAAAAATAAAACAAAGAACCAAGAAGATGAATCTCTGCAGTCACGAAAGCTTTAAATCGGAAAAAAGCAAGAGGTTGTATAAGTAAATGTAAGGCTAGCAAACAGAAGGCTCGCAAGCGTCAGCTCATCCGAGGGGGGATGGGATGGGAGAGGCTGCCATACCGAGCGAGGGGGTGGGGATGCCGCCGATCCCTCTGTAAATTGTATCCCCATCCGCTCGCTCGCTATGGCAGACCCTCCCATCCCTCTCCCCCCTCGGATTAGCTGACGCTTGCTAGCCTTCTGTTTGCTAGCCTTACAGTTACTTACATAACCCCTTGCTTGCAGCAGCTTTCTCACCGTTTTTCGTCTGATGACGGACGCTTGCGTTGCGCCCGAAACGTCGCGATCCATTATTTTTCTACCCACGTGGCTTAACCGACAGACCCAAAGGGTATGGATTCCTGCAGTCACGAAAGCTTCACATCCAGATAGGCCCTTGTCAATTCGCTGCTGGATAAAGAGTTTCCCCGCGTGGGTCGCCCATGGAAGGTTTGTTTGCTGGTGGGTTTTAAACGAAAATGGGTGTACGAATATTCTTACAGTTCACGCACCGATTGTTGTTGTTTGTTGTTGTACGCTAGAGGCGGTGTTTGCGTTGTTGCCTCTCGCGTGGGAAATGTCCTCGCGAGATCTGAGTCGGGGGGGGGGCATCCGTCCGCTTGTCGGTTACTACCAGAGGTGCATCGCTTTCGTGGTTCCAAAGTCACTGGGGTGGCCAGCAACAGTAAATTTGTTTTAACACGTGGTAGGGCTTTAACGACCAATATTATCCGCAATAGAGGTTTTATTTGCGTTAGATCGCGTAAATATATAAATGTGTCGTTAAACCCGCCACCACCCGACACAGCCAACTAGTAAGGTTTGTCACGTAAACAGAACGTGGCCAATTCGTCACGAGTACAGCACACAGCTTGTGTGTTGGAGAGTAAACCAACTGCAACATTTGCAATCCGAGTACCGATACCTTTTTGCCAGTAATCACAACTAACTACACCATTGGAACCTCATTTGCCAGAAGAAAAAATATGATAATTGGTTTTTTACCCTTTTATCTGGCAACAAAACTGACACCTTTTTTTACAAGGAGTCATGTTTGCATAGACCACAATACCTGCGGTCGTAATGCAAACAAAAAACACAACTCTGATAATGTATGCACTGTCCTTGAAGTTGATTGGTCCACACCCGAGACAGCTTTCCTTAGAGCCTAGTCTCACATGGTGTTGGACCAGATGACGCCAAAAGGCGCACAACTCAAAGGCAGCGCACCATCAGAGTATGAGAGCTCGGGGTAAGCATTTACACCATTGGAACCTCATTTGCCAGAAGAAAAAAATATGCTAATTGGTTTTAAAAAAAAGGTGTCAGTTTTGTTGCCAGATAAAAGGGTAAAAAAACAATTACAACTAACTAACCACAACTAACTAATCACAACTAACTTAACAGCACATCCGTGGTGACCGTCAAGAAGTGAGCGGGGCTGCCGAGATTAGCGGTCGCGAGCAAGGCGGCACGGCCGAGGTTTCGCTTCGCCTATACGCGGGTGCCCGTTCCAGCTCCGGTCCACGTCCGCTGGGCCCGCGGACCGAGAATCGGCATGGGTACGTGGAGCGCGCGCGGTCGGGGCATTGCACCGGCGGGGAGGGGGGGTCATCGTGGTTTTTGTGTACGCGATCGGCTGCTTTGTTATGGGAACCTCATTTGCCAGTAAAAATATGATAATTGGTTTTTTACCCTTCTATCTGGCAACAAAACTGACACCTTTTTACAAGGAGTCATGTTTGCATACCCATGTGAGACTAGGCTCTAAGGAAAGCTGTCTCGGGTGTGGACCAATCAACTTCAAGGACAGTGCATACATTATCAGAGTTATGTCTTTTGTTTGCATTATGACTGCAGGTATTGCGGTCTATGCAAACATGACTCCTTGTAAAAAGGTGTCAGTTTTGTTGCCAGATAGAAGGGTAAAAAAACAATTATCGGCTGCTTTGTGTTTTAGCCGTCGCGCTCCTATTGTGCCGGGCGCGTCTTGTGTAGCGCCGGTTTATTTTTTATTCATTTTTTTGTGGGGGGGGGGGGGGGGGCGTTGCACCGTTCGCCAGATGTTCGCATGGCCTCCCGATATGGGCCCATCGGATTGCGTGAATTGAGAGCCTACGGCCGATGCCGTCGGGACGATCTCCGGCAACCTAAAGCCGGATGTCGAAGGGCCTGGGGTCGCGCTCGGGATAATTAGGAGGGGGTGCTACGTCGTCGTGGGCATTGCAGCCAAATTATTTGTTGTTGTACTGCACCTCCGTTCGCCCGCATCTACGTCTGCTTTGCATTTGACGAGCCCGCGGTTGACAGGGCTGCGCTTGTGCCCGTGTCCACGCGCTGTGATGGTATTGAGGTGGCGTGTGGAGTGTGTTGAACTTCTTTCGCACCGCCGTACGTAGCCAGCCGCGCTAATCGGAGGTTGCGGAGGAATGACAACAAACTGGACACGCGAAGCTGTGTGTTTTTCAGTCTGGATGTGCAAGTGCATAGCCTCCAGTGGCTTCCTAATATCGGAAGGAAGAGCGTTCCAGACGGCCTCCTCATCATCATCACCACCATCAACGTCACACCCCCCACTTCCAAACCATGCAGGTGCCTCCTCAACATCGCCACCATCACCACCACCACCATCATGTGCGTATGCTTAACTTATTTTGCACCGTACGGAGTCAACCATGCTCATCGGAGGTTGCGTGCGAAGGTCAACAAACTGGACACGCAAAGCTCCGTGTTTTTCAATCTGGACGTAGTCTCCACTGGCTTCATAATATCGGAAGGAAGGGCGTTCCAGACGGCCGCATCATCAACATAACTAACACCATCACCACCACCATTTACCTCCACATTCCCATGAAGGTACCACCTCAGCATCACCACCACCACCACTATGTAAGTTGAACATCTGTCGGACTGAACGTAGAGGTGGGGGGAGGAGGACAACCCACTAAACTAAAAGCAGCAAGTTTTCATAGCTCCAGTGGCTTCATAATATCGGAAGGAAGAACGTTCCAGACGGCCGCAGCATCAACGTCACACGCCCCCCCCCCCCACTTGCTCATCATGCAGCTACCACCTCAACACGTATGTAAGTTGAACTTCTGTCGCACCGTACGTAACCAACGTTGCTCCTCGGAGGTTGCGGTGGAAGGACAACGAACTAAACAACAACAACGACATCAAAGCAGTTGTAAAGCAAATGAGTTTGTCAATAACGACGGCGCGATTCGTCTTGACACGAGTAGTTGGCCGCGACGAATCGGGTGTTTTTCGGTCTTAAAAGTGCGTCCGCAAATATTCGGGGGTAACCGGTTCGCGCGTGTAAACGTAGCTAATTAAAGACGCCTCATTTTTAATCACGATTGCCTGCTTTGTGCTCGTCTGAATTTTTTTCGCAAACCGAACGTTTTTGAACCGAGGCGCGGGTCACGCGAATGGCACGTCCGGTGCACGTTCAACTTCTTTCGCGCCGTACGTAGCCAGCCTTGCGAGTTGGAGGTAGCGTGTAGCACGGCCCCACGGCGAACGTGATGGCAGGTGCGGTCATGGGGCCTTGAGTCGGCCTTTAGATGAGCGTCTGGTGGTCGTGTGTCCACATCGGCACTTTGGGGAAGACAAAGGTGACCTGCCGTGGTTACTGGCCACAGCAACTCGGTGTTCCCCCATGTCAGCCTGCTTATAAACTCAAATAAGTAATATAAAAAATACTTTTGTTAAACACGCTTTCATGAAATGTACCGTGCTAGTAATGGAAGAACTCCGCGACTCTAGGAAGTGGCCCCGAAGCTTGCCACAGAGTAAGGGGCCGTGGTGATTTACAGGCAACGTCAGTTGAGCGTGGACAATTAGAGCCAAGCCGAAACGTAACATATCAAAAATAATGTTACAAAAATCAATTTTTATGATAGAATATAGTATTGTCATCAGTATGACATAAGTATACCAAGTTTGCTGTCGATAACACATTGGAAAGTGGGTTAAAATTGAGTTACAATATTTAAGGATATGAAAACAACAACAGAGTGAGTTAATAAAAAGCGTGTAAAAAGAATGTTGAAAAATATTTGATTTTATTTGTTATGATAGAATATAGTATTTTCATCAGTATGACATGCCTATACCAAGTTTACAGTCGATACGACATTGGGAAGACGGTTGAAATTGAGTTTCAAGATTTGAAGTTACGACAACAGTGAGTTAAATAAAAGCGTGTATAATGTTGAAAATTGTTTTAATGATAGAATATGGCATTGTCATCAGTAAGACATAAGTATACCAAGTTTGCAGTCGATACCACATTGGGAAGTGGATTAAAATTGAGTTACAAGATTTGAGGATACGACAACAACAGACAGAGTGAGTTAATAAAAATCGTGTAAACAACTCAATTATTTCACCAGGTAAAGGCACGCTGAACTACGTAGCTGGGTTTTTTTCAGAGCGAACCTGCCCATCACGAACGACAGCTCAACGAAGTGGGTTCGTCATCATCATCATCACGTGGACATCTATAGCAGCCACATTCTTTCAACGCGTGGTGTTGATTCTGAATGTCGAGGGGAAAACCGGAGCACCCGTAGAAAAATCCAGAGAGATGTGCAAACTTGCATTGTGATGTTTGGCCAATGCTACTGTGCACAGCTCCGCCCTGTTTTCACATCCAAGTCCGCAGTAGTTTGCTGTGATGTTGCCGTGCCGAATCCCAAGTGAGTCATTTTGCAGGTACAAATGTTTCCAATGTTGGCCGCATTTTGACCAAGGACCCCGACCCACGGTGGCCTCGTTTCGAGTGAACCAGACGCAGCATTCTACGATTACACCCCCCCCCCCCCCCCCCCCCCTTCGTCGCATTGAGATTACTTACATTCCTTTGGAGTGCTATAAATGTCAAAAATGGATGGGCCACTTTGCTGTGGGTGCGGGTCCTTGCCATCGAAACTAGAGCTGTCATTTGTGGCCAGGTCGCTTCTGAACAATAAGGTAACACCTTAGTGAGCTCTGCCTGGTAGGATGGGTGGGTGTACGTGTTTGGGTGCTTTGTTTACCTTTCTTCTACGTTGCATTCCTATCGTGTTTGTGTCACTTGTTGTTGTAACGTTCTTACCCCGTGCCCCGACTGGACATCGGTGACAAAAGAGCTTGATAGCTTATCGGATTCCTCCTGCAGTCTAAATATATATTCTGATTAATCAGGGCGGCCTGGCCGATTCGAACCGGGAACCCCTTTTGCAAAGAGCGACGAAACGCGCCGCCTAACGCCGTGTCAGAGTCACCCGGTGACTTTTGGCAAAACTTTTTTTATATTTCGGAAACTTTGAGCTTTTGTTTGGACAACTTTCCACTTTGAGGATTTGGCAATACTGTACTGACCTGGGTTCAAGCGTGGAGGAGGAGGGTGGGTGGGTGGGTGGGTGGAGGGTGGTGAGTGGAGGGTGGTGAGTGGAGGGTGAGTGGAGGGTGAGTGGTGGAGGGTGGTGGGTGGGGGAAGTGTGGTAGGTGGTGGAGGAGGGTGGGTGGTGGAGGGTGGTGAGTGGAGGGTGAGTGGAGGGTGAGTGGAGGGTGAGTGGTGGAGGGTGGTGGGTGGGTGAGGGTGGTGGGTGGGTGGAGGAGGGTGGGTGGTGGAGGGTGGTGGGTGGTGGTGGGTGGTGGAGGGTGGTGGGTGAAGGGTGGTAGGTGGTGGAGGAGAGTAGGTGGGTGGAGGAGGGTGGTGGGTGGAGGAGGAGGGTGGGTGATGGAATAGGGTGGGTGGTGGAGGATGGATGAGTGGTGGAGGAGAGTGGGTGGGTGGATGGTAAGGGTGGGTGGATGGTAAGGGTGGGTAGGTGGTGGTGGAGGAAGAGGAGGAGGTGGGTGGGTGGAGGAGGCAGGCGGGTGGAGGAAGAGGAGGTGGGTGGGTGGAGGAGAGTGAGTGGGTGGGTGGATGGTGAGGGAGGGTGGGTGGTGGTAGTGGAGGAAGAGGAGGTGGGTGGGGGTTGAGGGTGGGTGGATGGTGAGGGTGGGTGGATGGTGAGGGTGGGTGGGTAGGTGGTGGTGGAGGAAGAGGAGGAGGTGGGTGGGTGGAGGAGAGTGAGTGGGTGGGTGGGTGGATGGTGTGGGTGGGTGGTGGTGGTGGAGGGTGAAGAGGAGTGTGGGTGTAGGAGGGCAGGTGGGTGGAGGTGACACTGGGTGCGGCTGTGACGAAAGGCGGTGGCGTCGGGGGTGTGTAAGGATAGCTGGCCACGTGTTCTCTCTCTCTACACACGAAGGGGCGAGGCACAAAACCATCGTCACCCGAGGTTTGGCACCGACTGCGAGCGAGCGAGCGAGTTCTCCGTGGCCACCGACCCCGTCAGGTGTTGAGAGTCATCCCATCCAAGGTGTGCAACCTGCCGGTCACCTGAACCAACACAGCCGGCATCTTGAACCCAAGGTACCGGTCACTCGATTGCGTTCGGAACCTTTCCTCGGCGTTCAACTTTTTCTAAGGTCGCCGTTGTACAGGCCGTCTCTGGGTGGGTCATCATCATCACGATCCATGGACAGAAAGCCCTTAGGTGTCCACTGTACATTTCCTAATTTGTTACCACTTTGGGTGGGTGTTGGCATTAATGTGGAAGTTGTAACGTCGGGGACATTCACCCAACTGATAAAAAAGCCATCGTTTTATCAAAACCAAATCATTGGTGTGGGACAGACGCTAACGTGATGTTGGTGTTGCTGTGCTTTGAACGTGCAAGTGTTGTTAACAATCTGACTAATGTTACTCATCACTTTATTTAAGTCGTAACACCCACACCTGTAGATGTTTTTTTTTTAATTCGCGAGCTGTTTTCTCTACTTTTTCTCTCTCTCTCTTCGTGGTCATTCAAGCAAAGTTGTCACCGTGCGTCGTAGGAGATCTCATAGCCCCTGGCTCGCCGGGAGAAGGCGGTACAGCAAATACTTCCACTCCACCTGTTCCATCTGTACGATGGGGATAGAGCGTTGCCCCCTCGCACGCGTTGGGTTTTCTCCGGGTGCTCCGGTTTCCTCCCACGTGTAAGCACTCGTTAGTCATAGATTTGAAGCTTTCGTGACTGCAAGGATTCATACTCTTTGTTTTTTCGGTAAAGTCACGTAGGTAAAAAATGAAATGAAAATGAATAAAAGTAAAATGATAAAAATCACGACGTTTCGGAGGCAACACAAGTCTCCGTCATCAGGTGGGACCGTCACAGCCAGATTTGCTGTATCAAGTTGCTGTATCAAGTGCTGTATCAAGTGATACGGCAACTTGATGCAGCAAATCTGGCTGTGACGGTCCCACCTGATGACGGAGACTTGTGTTGCCTCCGAAACGTCGTGACTTTTATTATTTTATTTGTATTAATTTTAATTTCATTTTTTACTCTCGTTAGTCGGCCGGCAACACCTTCACGATATCTAGAGGATCGCAGAGCTTGGGGAGGAATTTGGCATCGGCCTCCTCGCTCGCCCGTGGTTCTGTCCTACGGGCACCTACGAGTCGTCGTCGCTGTCCGAGAGAGAGCGAACGAGCGAGAGCCTTACAAATGATTAATCGTCCCTTTACCTGTGTAGAGAAGTTCCGACAGACGTACTCGTAGACGCAGGTAAGTTAAGCGCTTCCGCCAGGGTTTATTAAAGCTGTTACAATAATACACAGCAGGGTGCACAACTCCCAGGCGCTAGGGGTCCTACCCTGAGTCCGGGTCCCTGCCGGCTCGCTCCGGTCTCTCTCTCTCGTGTCGGATCGTGGACTCTGCCGACTCCACCGAGCGGAGAGAGAAGCACCTCTACGGCTACCACCGGCTTCTCCCCAGACTCACTCTTCTGCCGACTCCACCGACACACACACAGACACACACACAGACACACACAGACAACAACAACAACAACAACCGCCATTCGCCACTAAGTGGCGGTGACGTCACCACGATGCTTGTGCCAGGCCAAGTGCACCTTGAGGCCACGTGAAGTGTCGAAAGCCCGCTGGCAGGAGGTCACGGGGCAGACCCAGGTGCCACTGGTCGACTGACCGAGATGACCGAGATGACTGGCTGATGCACCACCTGTGCCCCCTACTGTGCCAACTTGCTGTGCTTTAGCCACCCGGCGCTCCGCTCGTTGTTGTGAGCGTCGCTCCTCCGCCCTCCGTTGTTGTTGGAGGGCGACTGCCTCCAACTGCCCAGTAGCGTCCTTCACGAGCCTCCTCCACTGAGGCCGATCTTGACACCGCTGGTACCAGTCATCGGCAAGTCCACTCAGCTCCACGTCCTCCTGTACCACATCACTCCATCTCTTCTCCAGCCCGTGCCGCGCCCGTCTAGCCCCCTCGATCCGGCCGAACAAAAGCTGTTTAGGCATGCGGTGGCTGGGCATGCGG